ACATGTGTATTGGCCCTATAGAAATAAACTGAATTGAATATGTATGTATGTATGTGTATATATTCATTCTTATTTCAACCGTTGCATATATTAGCTAAAACATATGAATCAAGATGCGATGACGGGGAAAAAATGTGATTGACAGATGACCGTTGATATATGATTGGCCAAATTTAGGTGTTCAGGCTGACGTATAACTAACTGGCCTGTATAAGATGACAAAGAAAAAAAACTGATTTTAAAACAGGATTTTTTTTTTTAAATAAAAATGTTCTATTTTGACAATATCCTCCAATAAAGAGTACTGTACATGTTTAAGCCAGAATGATTTGACATTTAAATAGGATTTCCCAACGACTTTAAGGTTAGAACGGCCCGTTTCCTTATTTCCTCTGAAGCTTCTTTAAACAGGTTTTAACAAAGAAACGGATTCATTTCCATCGTATTATATTTTCATCTTGTTAAAGAGACAGTTAGAAGAAAAGCTTCTCCCATCACTCATAGCTCACTTTAATATTAGTATGTTTGTAAAATGGCTGAAATGGGAATTATCTTTTTAAATTTCCGTATTTATCCTGCATCTCAATCTAGATTGTCTCTAGAAGTTGATCAGCAGACATGAGGGAAGCTTCTCTGGTGTGTTTGTGTCGGTGGGGGGTTGGATTAATAACAGAGGGTAGAGATTGGGTGTAATGATCCCAAGCAAAAAGCAGTAGGAGGGTCCCGCCCCCACCGCCGCCCCCTGCTGTCTCCACTAGTCATATTTGGAAACAGAGGGAGGATTGTGGGAAATCCAGCGATGGCGTTCGGAGCATGAGGCGTCTGGCCTCGACGTTCTACCTGCCCAGTGAAAACTGAAGGATCGTCGGGGCTCTTCTCCCCAAAGCTGAGCTTTTCCTCCCCTGCAGGGGTCTCCCCACTCCCCCCCCATGTCACCAGCCCTCTTCGCTGATATTAGCCGACATCTAACCTTTTAATGAACGCAGGGCCGCAGCCTAGCTGCTGCTGTGGGAGGTTAGTGAGGCTGTCTGACAGCGGCGCGGCCTAATGAGAAGGGCCCCGTCGGACCTCCGCAATAACCGCCCTGCACACCTCATTAGCATCACGCTAATAAGCCACTCTGCACAGGATGTGACAGAGTAAGCTGGAGTGGAGAGAAGGATGGCATGTTTGCTCACAGCCACATCAAAGGCTCCTTTATCCACCTACAAATGTGTGCTCTCCCTGCTTTTTTTTTCTTTCCCTCCAATATTTCAGCTTCATCATTATCCAGAAGTGGTTTATTGCAGCAACATGGCAGACATTGTTTGCCTTTGTTGGGAAATGTGTCCACTGCGTGCGCCTCTAGATAATACGCATGGTTTGGAGAAAATCTGCTTAAACTTTTTAACAAAGCTCAAAAATGAGGGTTTTTCTTTTTCTTCTAAGACATGATTTTGTTTTTAGCGGATCGCGAGCGTAGCTGAGCAAATTAATGATTGAAATCTGGTTGCATTGTGGAGGACTGTCTCCAATCCAAAGATTTTGCTGCTTCTGATTGCTTTTTAAAGTTGTTGGGAAATCATATTTAAATGTCAAATCATTCT